AGCCTGAATTGATTCAGCGCTCTTAAGGCAGCTTTAGAAAATATTTTTTTAAAAAAATTATTTTTTAAATTAATCGAAATATATATTAATATTAAAAATAATTTTAAAAAATAAAAAATAATATTTTAGTAATCTTTAGTTTTAATGCAAATACAACATTTCTCCAAGGGCAAAAACGAAAAAAAAGAAAAGGAGAGGCCTTTTTAAAGTTTAAGGGCTGCAGGAAACTTTGATTACTAGCAAAGAGCCCATGGCGACCATACGACTTGTCGTGTAGATCCTCAAGGGCCAAGTAGACATTTCCATCAGACCCACTCTATCCGTTTATCAAAATCCATTGTGAAGGAGGCGAAAGAAAAACCTCAAAAGCAAACACATAAAAACCTCAAACCAAAAACCCACGGAAAATCCAAAACAAAATGCAAAGAACCATGGCAGCTGCAAGCTCTTCAAGAACTCTACTAAACCTCTCTCTGTCTTCTAAGACCAAACTCTATCATACCTTTCTAAAACTCCCCAAAAAACCCACCAGGTTTTTACTAGGGTTTAACTTTAGACCACTGTGTACTTTATCATCAACAACAGCGGCAACTGAACCGGATGAAATAAAACACTCAATCCTACTAGAGAGACTGAGACTTAGACACCTTAAAGACTCTAAAAAACCTCAACTAACGGACACTCAAACACAAACCGCACTAAAACCAGTTGTTCTCATCGAGGGTGAAGAAGAAGAAGATGGGTTTAAGAAGTCTAAGAAAGGGAAAAAGATTGCGGGTAGTTTTGAGGAGTTGGGATTGAGTGAGGAGGTTATGGGGGCTGTTAGAGAGATGGGGATTGAGGTTCCTACTGAGATTCAATGTATTGGTATTCCTGCTATTTTGGATAGTAAAACTGTTGTCTTGGGTTCCCATACTGGGTCTGGAAAGACTCTGGCTTACATGTTGCCTCTTGTTCAGGTGTGTTTTTATCTCCATTTTTCATTGATTGATTTGCTTGTTGCTTTGATTAAGATTTTGGGTTTTACCTATTCTTTTCTTTTCTTTTTCACTTCTGGGTGCATTGAATTTTGGGAAGGTTTGGAGGTTTCGTTGTGTTTTTGGAATTGCATTGTGGTTCAATGCATATTGAAATTGTTGAAATATGGATTGTGTGTGTTTTCTTGTCTATTATTTTAACATTTATAGTTCACTAACATTCATTCTTGGCGTCGACTACTTCGTATGCTTGTGTTCAGAAATGGTAAACATAAAATCGTGTGAATTATGTTAGTCTTTTAGGTGTTAAATCAAAAGGAAAATTTCTATTTATTTTGTTTGTCTTATAGTTGCTGAGACGGGATGAGGCCTTGTTGGGTAGGCTAATGAAGCCCAGGCGTCCACGAGCTGTTGTTCTATGTCCCACAAGAGAACTATCCGAGCAGGTTTATTTTCCATGCTGTCAGTTGAATTTGGACCTTTCTCAACCTGTGGCTTTGCCTTTGCAATTGATAACAATAAATGGGTTTCAGGTTTTTCGAGTGGCAAAATCCATTGGTCATCATGCACGTTTCAGGTCTACTATGGTAAGTGGGGGTGGCCGGTTGAGACCCCAGGAGGATTCATTGAATAATCCAATTGACATGGTAGTGGGAACCCCTGGTAGGGTTCTTCAACATATTCAGGATGGGAACATGGTTTATGGTGACATAAAATACTTGGTGAGTATCTGAATCCTTTCATTTATTTTCACTTTTCTAGAACAAGTGATCGTGCTACAAAATTTTCAATATGGTTGTTTGGACCACTGCTTTAAGATACAGTGAAGAACTCGCTTATGGCAGCTTCTTCTTGCTGCAATGACTTTGTTACATTTTATGATGTTGCTAATCTTTTAGTAGGTGTTGGATGAGGCAGACACCATGTTTGATCGTGGCTTTGGTCCTGACATTCACAAGTTTTTGGGCCCATTGAAAAATCGCACATCAAAAGCTGATGGTCAAGGGTTTCAAACTATTTTAGTCACTGCAACAATGACAAAGGTATGCAAACTTGGACGATCATCTTATTGAATGAATGGAAATCTGTGTGCTGTTTTCATAACCTAAAATAATTTTGCTTTCTGTTGCTTTTACAATGAGCGCACAGAGACACAGACACGCACATGTTTTGAGACTTATCTGAATAAGCAGGTCTTGTGGATGCTGGCATGCTAACACACCAACAAATTTTCCTATATTTGTCGTTCCCATATGCAGCAGGAATGAGAATGGGCATTACTTCTTTGTGGTGTATCTAAATGGCTTGTTAACGCGAGAAGTTGCTTAAGGGTGATTCCTGTCTTGTTCTGCTAGATATCCACCTAGACCTTTTGACTAATTACTACTTACATGTGTTGCTTCTGCTGTATTAAAACTAGGGAAATGCTACAGCAAAGGATTACATTTACTTTACTGAATTCTATTTTCTCTCTCTCATTTGGACCTGATGGGGATGGATGAATTTTCTTAAGCTACTTCTGGAATTTCCCAACATTTTGAATGTTTTCCTCATTTTATTCTTAGCTTCCACAACTCCTTACTTTTTTCCAAGTCAGCATAATTTAAGGAAGTAGCATCTTATCACCTTGATCCTCTTATGTGATTAAAGTGGGTTGCTCAAGCTCTTGATAAATCCTTGAAATTTTCAGGCTTCTAGCTTTTATCAGCAATCTGTTTTATATAAACAAATCCATATATCATTGGGCATATGTGTTTAGGAGCACACACTCAGTTGTCTATATGTGCTATCAACATCCACCTTCAGTTTGGTGAATGGTTATTTATTTGTTAGCTGAAAATCATTGAGCTTGATTATGTACATAACTTTCTATTCAAGGAATTTGGATAGTTGATCTTCATAGGTTTTGCAGGCAGTTCAAAAGCTGATTGACGAGGAGTTTCAAGGAATAGAGCATCTGCGCACGTCAACACTCCATAAAAAGATAGCATCTGCTCGTCATGATTTCATAAAGCTTTCAGGTTCTGAAAACAAGCTGGAAGCATTGTTGCAGGTCAGCTGCTCTTGTTTGCTGCTGTTTTTTCCTACCTGACATTCTTATACACAAATGGTGATGTTTAGTTAGGATGCCATGTGATTGCAGGTTCTTGAGCCTAGTTTAGCGAAAGGAAATAGAGTGATGGTGTTCTGTAACACTTTGAATTCCAGCCGTGCTGCAGATCACTTTCTTGCTGAAAATCAGATCTCCACTGTCAATTACCATGGAGAGGTGCCAGCAGAACAGAGGTGAGATGATCTAAAATGTTTTTTTGTCCCCCTTCTTGTATCTGCAATCTAACTTGTGCGTATGATACAATAGATGGTGATTTTTATAAAAGCACCTGACTTGCCTGTTTTTCATCCAAAGAGGAAAAAAGAATGCGCTAGGTATTGCGCATTCATCTCCATCTATCTGCATGCATGTAATAACAAATATATACATGTTTACTTGATTGTCTTCCTTCTATGAAGAATTTCAATATTGACTGTTTACAAATATTTCCAACCATCTAATCCAGATATTTGATACTTTCACTGCATCATTGGTGTGCATGCAGGAATGTTAGCCTGTAGTATTTAACAAACTGTGTTTTTCCTTGTGAACTCAGGGTTGAGAATCTGAATAAGTTTAAGAGCGATGATGGAGATTGCCCCACGTTGGTCTGCACAGACTTGGCTGCTAGAGGACTTGATTTAGATGTGGACCATGTCATCATGTTTGATTTCCCCTTGAACTCTGTAAGTAACGTTTTTTTTCAGTGTCAGTTGCTAACAATTGAAAGTCCAATCCCTATGGATGCCAAATAACAGTTTTTATTACATTTCTTGGGTTGAATCTTGTTAAATCCCAGAGGATGTTTGGAGGAGGGGAAGGACTGCACCTATGGTGGTGCATCGATTATTACACTGGAAAGTAAAAAATAAACAAGTCTAATCCTTGCATTTTTTGTCTTTGACCATTTTAGATTGATTACCTCCATCGCACAGGAAGAACTGCTCGAATGGGTGCAAAAGGTATGTGTCCTGCAATTTGCTGAAGCAATGTGGCATGCTCTTAAATGTTGAAAAGAAATTTGAAGCTGGCACATTAAGATCTACTTGTGCAAAAAAAAAAAAAAAACTTATATGAGCCAAAACTTATTTTTCACAATTAATTGTCATCTCATTTGAATTTGCAAGTGGAAATACGAACCCCACACTTAAAGAAATTCTGTAAATTTGTGGCAATCACCTTTTTCTGGTTTTAGATTTAGACGTGTCTTGTTGGTGTTACAGGGAAAGTGACAAGCTTGGTGGCTAGAAAGGATCAGCAGTTAGCTGCTCGGATTGAAGAGGCAATGAGGAAGAATGAGAGCTTGGAATCCCTCACAATAGATGGTGTTAGAAGAGACATTGCTAGGGCTCGAATAACCGAACAGCAGGGGAAGAGTGCAAAATTGATTAAAGCATCCAATCAGAAGAGCAATAATAAGTCAGCAACCGATAAAACCCCCATTGTGCGGACCAAGGCTACATCTTCGGTGATGAAATCTGGAAAAGCATCCACCAGTGCACGGACCAAGGCATCCACCAGTGTGCGGACCAAGGCTACATTTTCGGTGAAGAAATCTGGAAAAGCATCCACTCCAGCAAAATCTATCAAGGCTGTTAAGGTTGCAAAAGGAGTCAAATCCTCCAGTGCAAGCTACTCTAGAAAAAAATCTCCAGGTGTGAAGAAGCAAGTGGGGAAGCTAAGAGTTGTGGCATTTAGGGGGCGGTCTTCTTCATCTAGCAAGAAAGAATCATTGAGGCCCAGTTGATTGTTGTTAAAATAAATATCAATTCATATCAAACGCTAGTGTTCTGGTTTGCTTTCTCTTCCGCTAGTCTAATATTTGTGATGATTATTATGAGGGAATATGCTGGCTTTTTCTCCCCATCTTTCCAGGGTGCACTGTTCTATTTTGGCCTTGCAGCTGTTGAACAACGCAATCACTGAGTACATAAACCGTAATTTACTTTCTTATTTATAGAAAACTTTCTGCGGACATATTGATTGAAGCAATTGTGTAAAATTACAAACACTTTGGACAATTCAAATATCAATGCCCAGTTTTCAAGGCCTACAATTTTTTTCACTTCCAGGTGAGGAGTGGGCGAGGATTTTTGGCAGGGGTGACAACGTTTCCATCTGAGTCATAAATGATGACGCCTGAAAAATCAGGCAGTTGACACTTCCCGCCCATGAGTATGTTCTTCCTCCAGACTGAAACTACCTGTTCACCACTGAACATGCTGTCATCAAGACTGCCTGCATGGATGCCATGTTCTATGCCCAACATCGTATCTTCAGTGTTGAGTTGTATAACAGGATCGTGGTCACTGGGCCCATAACAAGCACTCCAACGACGCCATTTACGAGAATGAGAAGCGCACATAAACAAGGCAAATGCACACAAGAGAAGGGTAACTGCAGGCAGGCCAAGTCCTGATGAGCTTAGCGGTATTTGTTTCAAGTGAAGCTGGCGTGCCATGGGATCGAATGTTTTGATGCTTGGCTCTACGTGATTGTGTGAGAGTTTATAAAGGCTGATTTTTGCCAAATGGGGTAGTTGGATTTGAAGGATTTGTTAGGGTTTAGATTGAGACAATTGACTAGAAAGTGGTGTGTGGTTTTGGTGACCTTTCACCATTGACCACCACCATTCCATGCTAATTAAACCCTGCAAACACGCCACATCATCCTTGCATACCTGACAAGAACAAAACAAAAAATATAGCCCAGGTCCCATTTAGGGTTTTTTTTTTTTTTTTTGTCATGGGTTTATTCATGGGCCTTTGTGACATTCACAAGGCCCAAATATCTAAGCCTTTTCAATGTTTATATAGCCTAGGCCCAGTATATACTGTTGGGATTTGAGAGTATAGTGTTTACCAGTTCTTCTCTGTGTCTGCTCCGCTCCCCTGCTCGGTGAAAATCTCGAGAGCAGAAAATGCAGAAACAATTACAAATTTCTCTGTTCAAATTGCTTTTGAGACACCCTTTTGAACATTCTCCAAAACTCAATTGTGTGATTGTTTTTATAAATATTTAAACTTATATTATAAGCGTGGAATTTTTTATAATTGTAAAGGAATTCTAAACATTTAAATATATTAATTAATCACCGTTACATAATCTAAATAAACTTTTATATATGTATGTATGTATTCTACTTGAACACATCATTAGAATCTGCGCCGGAGTTCTCTGAAATTCCCAAGAAATACTTTCCGCGCCATTAAAGTTCTCTTACGACTCTACTTAAAGCTTTAAGTTTTAAGTTTTGTAAATATGGTTATAGTTGGTTTTTAAATAATTTTTTATATTAAAATATATATTAATAATATTTTTTAATATTTTAAAAATATTTTTAATATTAATATATTAAAATAATTTAAAAATATTAAAAATATATTAATTTAAAATTAATAAAAAAACAAATTAAAACACAGAAACACACAGTTTTTACAGGCACTAAAGATGCGTTTTTTCTTACTTGTTCTACAGAAGACTCTGAAACACTGCATTCTTAGAAATTTCTTCAGACCTGACTACCTGAGATCAACGGCTCGCGTCATTCTTTTTGTACTATCCTGGCATCTTTGTCCTAGTTGTCTTCCACTTGTAGTTTTGACAATCCCCTTCTGTTGTAGTATGTTCTTAGGAGAATACTAGATTCCAAACAAAATGGATCTAGACCCCCTTGCCATGCAGAAGTACCTAAAAAGGGGGCGAGTTTTTGGCAGTGACTCAACAAGTGGGCTTATATCTCAAAATGTTCAACGAATATGGCAGACTATAAGCCACAATTCCTTTTGAAGGATTAGGAAGGTCTTCAACCGTCCCCTGTCCTCTTTTCTATGTTGCAAACCAGGAAAGCTTGTAGAACTTAATCTGTCGAAGCCCAAAAATATGGGTGATTATGATGAAAAAATGCAACTTGTAAGCATGCATGCTCCTGAAGCCCCTTACAATTTCATGCAATAATACCAAGAAGATATGACTACATTCAAACTGCCTGCCTTTAAATCTCTCTTTGATGGGTCATAGACTGCTCAATAACTGTATTTATGTTTTCGTTCTGAGGCAGGTGGATCCATACGGGTGTGTTTCTAAAGCTTTTGATACATCGGCATGGAGTAAATTTAGTTCATGAGTGGGGCCTTGTTTTATTAAGAGTGATAGATATTGCCAGCAACATTAAAACTCTTTCAATTTCCGTTGCGCTTTCCTTCGCCAACACCTGACTTGTTCGAGGAACTAGAGGCTTCATCTCTTATACTGCATTTTTCATGTCATTGATTTCCTAGTTGATGCTGAAAGGACTTGCTTACAGCTGATACACAGTTACCTTCTGAATTCTGATGCTTTCACACAATCATGTGGTGGAGTATATGTTTAGCGTTATCATTCTCTGCACTTTTAATACTGGTTAAAGTTGAGATGTAGAGGGGAAAGAATGTAGACCTCAATTTTTGGAAGTCAGCAATGCCATTGTTGTTTTAACGAAGGACTTCGCTTTGGTAGATTCGGTGGCATAATACATAGTAGGTTTCTTTAGTTATCTGGCATGACCAAGTGTTGTGTCACTTTGAAATTTAGAATGTTCTTCTGGAACTGTCCATGAACTAGCAAGTAATTCGTAAGTTGTTCTTTGGTCAGTGACTAGAAGTTTCTCTTCCTGGAAAGTATATCTAATTCATGATACAGTATAGTATGTCCTGGAAACTCCAGTTCAACACAATAACGGATATCCACCTTCTTTTCTTCCTTACAAAGATAGTGGCTCCTATGGATAGAAATTGACTTGACCTTCTAATATCTACATTTCAGTGATGTGAAGTTGAAAATACAGTGTGGGGATCTTCTTATATTGTTGGATATTCAAGTGAACAAACATACAATGGAATACGTTGGTTTTATGATGGCATTTCATAGTTTAGACTTCTTACAGGTACTCCATTGCTCCAAAGGAAGAAAAGAAATTGGAGAAATGAGGAGCTAAAATCTAATTGCATTATAGAAGTACTTTTCAACATGCTTCCCCTACTTCTAATTAGTGTTTATGACAATTCCTGTGCTGTCTCTCTGTAAGCTACCTGTCTTCTTTTTCTTTCTTCTAGAACACAGCTTCATAATAGAACTCGTCATTTTTCCTCCTCCTCCTAGAACTCAGTTTCATAATAGAAACTAGGGGAGCAGAAAACGTGAATGCAGGTTTGAGGTTTTTGTCTTGAATGTGTATTTTGCTCTCATCTGTTCCTAGTAGCTTGAATTTGGTATTACAGAGTTTTAAATAATACGAGGGTTTGAAACAAATCCATTGACAGGTCTTGATGAACTTGTTGAAACTGATTAAGAGTACTTGCAAAATGCGATCCTGGAATGGCTCACCTCACAAGCATTTAATCAGGAGATCGCATGCCGTGAAACCTTAGGGAGGGCTGGCTATTCTGAAGAGTGAATAATGTCACGTGACATGTCATGGGAATTTGTTGAATGCATTGTTAAGGCTATCTATCATGGTGAATCTCTGACGATGTAACGTGGTGCTTTCACTAAAAGTTGCATTAACAGTTGTAGAAGATACGAGTAATTTATCATAGTTTGCCAATTGGTTCTCAAAGATGGTTGTATGGTATGCAGAAAGGTGTGTTAAATTGCAGTCTACAGTTTTCAAAGATGATTATTTGCTATGGAGAAAGACGTGGGAAATTGCAGTCCATTAGAGAACATTGGCAAATGGAATGATATGGCTTTTTGGGACAAGCTTAATGGTTTAAAAAGAAGGCACTGCGAAACTGAACTCATATTGGAAGGTTCTTAGTTCAAACTTCTTTATGATATTTGTTTGATTGCTATGTTTCAGTACAGCTTTTGGCTAGCATGGAAAGTAGCAAGTTTTGCAACTCGATGGCACCAGAAGCCAAGTTTAAGTCGAGAAAAGAACCAAATGGAACCACGATCAGATAAGTAGCTAGATTCCTTTTATTTAGAACTAAAACCGATTATCATGGTTTGTAATGGACCAAAGAAGACGCCAAAGGCGCCTGTTGCTGTCATTTTGACAAAGGGATTTTTTCCCATTTCTTGTCAGGACATCGATTATCATGTGGAGAGCATGGGATTGATCGTCTTGTCCACCTTTTTTCCCCTCTGGAACGATTAGATTAGGTTCACCTCCCATGGCAGAGGTTCCAATGCAAATGCACAATCAATGTGGCCTGCCTTCATTTCTCTTTCGGATTGCTCGGGTCCATATTGGCTTGAGTGAAAAGAAACAAAAAGGGAATCTTATTGAACTAATTAATCATGGATCTTTTTATTTCTTTATTCCCGTCACATCAAGGTACTAGCATGTTAAGGTTCTGAATTTAAGTTAAACAACGCTCTCTTTACCAGAAAAAGAAATTAATCAAAAGGGGCATCGAGCAAGAGGCATATGGGGATGTTGTTGTGATGAGTTGCTGATTATTATCTTAGTAGGTCGTCTTTTTTACCAGTACTTTTGAAACATGGAAAAAGGGTGTGGACCAAGTGAAGAATAGTGAGATGGGAGAGACAAATCTTTTGCCTGTTGAGGCACGAGAAGGAAGAGGAAAACATGGCCTGTTTCTGTCTGTCTGCTTTTATCTGCATCATAAGCCCTACATAAAAAAATATGCACGGGGTCCTTCCGAGCCGAGTAGCTATTCCACTGCTCGTAATAGGTAATGGTTCTCTTTTCCTAACTCGAACAGTAGAGTTACGGGCCAGACACGATCCCATCACCTGTCCCACTTTTGGACATCCTTGAATGTTCATATGATTCTGAAGATCTATTTTGCATTTACTTCTGTATCAAGTTCTCTTGCTGTTACATGAATCCTGCTACTTAAATATGTCAGAACTTGCTGTCAAACTAAGATTGAAAGTAAATCTGCTTAAATATTTGTAAGCTGCCAGCTGAAATTTCTTTGTATAGTGTAGTCTTTAACTCCCAGCTGCCAGAGGGCAAGCATTGGATTGAAGAATACTTCTGATTCTATGGAGGGCAGAAGCTCCAGATTATATTTCACAGAAATTCAGGAACATGAGTAACATTAATCAGGGCAAAAAGGAAATGCATAGAGTTGCATGTAAATAAAAAAAATTGTTAATCGGAAAAAGCAAAGGATGAAGCAAATTCAACCACAATGCTGTTTCTACCACTGTACAAGAAACCCCAGGACCACCAGCTAAATGCAATAACACTACCCAAAAGCTCTCTTTTCAATTTTCTCAGTAACTCTCCTCTTTTGTCTTCTTGGGATCGAAAAGAGAACCAATCATTGATGTCCTTGGAAGCAAAGAAAAACACAAGGACAAATTATTTCAACTTTGATTTGATGACTATTTTATTAGAGGTTGAGAAGTCTTTCCCCATTCTTCTGGTGGACTCTTTACTTCCATTAACAGTGCCACCACTTCCTTCATGGTTGGCCGCTCTGCTGGCGAAGAGTTCACGCAGAACATTGCAATCCCTAGTGTTTGCAGCATTTCCTGCACCATTTGGTCTGGCAAACCTTGAAGCTTCGCATCTAGTATTGATACAGCTTGTTCAAAGCTTCCCATCTTTTTCTTCACCCACTCAACTATGTGTAATCCATCTCCTATATGAGGCTCAACAGCACTGCGGCCACTTATGATCTCTAGCAATACCACTCCATAACTGTAAACATCACTCTTTTCTGTGATATTCATGGTGTATCCATACTCTGAAAT